AAAGGGGGAGACAACATTAGAATTGGTCAAATATAAAGAAGAAGAAAGATTCCTAACAGAAAATACCATCATGATTACGGCGTGGAGAGGAGTCGAGAACGAAGCAATTAATGCCAGTAAGACGTATACGAACGGTCATGATAACATGAATAAAGCTCCCCCCCCCCCGAAAAACCATTTGCGGGTTTGTAAAAGATGTGAAAAAATAATCCAGAAATAGCTTGACAAATCACCGCAAACCGCGCTTCAATATCTACATCCGGTACCTTGTAGCAGCCGAAGTTCGACTATAAAATACCTGCAAATATGAGTAAAAATCGGGGACTTTTCCCCCCCATATCTCAAAAACGGTGCGTATACTCAATCTGAAATTTTATTATGTGTAAAGGGTCACCCTATAGATGAAAAAAAACCTCACACCGACCCCAATTTCGAGGGCCCAAAAACGGGCGAATTTGTGCATGGCTCTTTAGGACTTTTACAGTACCTCCACTGGACGAAATTCGGCAACTCTTTAAAAAATTCGAATTTCCCGCTCAAATTGCGACAAAAATGACAAAAAAATGAAAAATTCCGGACATTCTTGCGGAATTCTGCACTTTTTCAGTACTTCCGGACCGCCCTTACAAAATCAGTACTATTTCCGTATCCGGAAGTTCTGGACTTATAGACACCCTGGAGTTAGCATCTTTGCCGCACTCTTTCAGTATTAGAAAAAAAAAAATTCCGTGAAATTGGCCCGATTCGTCCTAAATATTTTTGTCAAATTCCCTAACATTCGAAGATATGCGTAAAAATATATAACGAGGGCTGAGGAACAAAACCGCGTAACTGACAATTTTCGCAAAAACGAGTTAACATCTTTGCCGCACTCTTCAGTATGTAATACGCAAGCTAATGTATTTAGTTTTTTCCAATTCCACATGGGAGCGTTATATAGACGCTGTGGTGTATACAAAAACTGCAAATCTAACCACAAAATTGCAAAAATGGCGAGGTTTTTTCGTTCCTCTGCAAAATCGTCAGTTTGCAAATAAGCGGTATCGTCCCTTAGTCATCGATAATTTTAAAGAATTTTTACGCAATTTACATTCGAAACATCACACCGATAGGATAGAAAGCAAAAATTGGTGATTTGACAATTTTTCTCACTTTCAGCATATTCCCAAATATTTTAGGGTTTTCAGGACTTTGTAGAATAGACCACTAGACAAGGTACGAATTTAAGCAATCTGATTCATGTTTCTTGGCCAGAATTTCACATAGAACACGATTCACGCAACGAATATTCCTAAAACCAACTCCTAACGAAGATATTGAAGTTTTTATTTCACATTGGTTACGAGGACTTTGAACTGCGCGCTCACAAGAAACTCAAAGCTCTACGTGAGTCAAATCGCGCACTACAACGGTTTCAGCAAGCTTCTCAATCGAGGAATGTTCATTTCCCACCGTGTGTTGTTCAAACTATAAGCAATTTGCTAAAGCTGAGCCAAGGCGTCAAGATTGAGGTTGCCAGATTTTTATGTCGCAGAGACTGTCATGATAACATTTAGCGCGCGATGTGAATCACGTAGAGGATTGAGTTTTCATGAGCGGGTGGTTTGAATTCACGCATCGAGAATCATTAAATATCTTCGTAAGGAGTTGATTTCGGTAATTCTCGTTGTGCGAATCGTTTTCACGTAAAATTTTGGTTAAGAAGCATGTATCATAATGCTGAAATTCGTACCTTGTCTAGTGGTCCATTCCTTGATATCCCCGGTATTTTCTGGCTATGGGGACTCTGCAGATAAGTCAAGTCTATCAGCAATGGGCTCTCTCGCACAAAAGAGATACTTCCCCGTGCTCATAGCGCCCAGGCTACGCCACACGGTGGACATTTTTAAAGAGGCAACTCACCGATTTTCATATTTTGTTTAGTTTCCTCATCGACGAAATGGAAGAGACCCCGGGCGATTCCGTAGCGCACAGCTATGGCTTGCTTCGACTGGCCTACGCTTCCCCACACCTCGGCTTCGATGTCTACTTTATTCAGCATTCCCGACATCAGCAATGGGAACAAGACCTGCGAACACACAATAAACCGATAAAAACGGAGAACAGCAACGGAGGAATTAGTACACGGTGAGACTGAGAAAACGCCATCCACATTTTGTGCCAGATGGGAGAGTTGGTACTTTTGCGATCTTGCGATAAAACAAATTCAAAATAGTAATGGGGATGTCCAACGATTAAAAATTCTAAATATCACGAAGAGTGACGCTTTCGGGGAGAAGTTTCCAGTAATGAGGGGAAGAGGGGGGGGTGGCAAATCATTTTTCCTAAAACATTGTTTCCTACTGCAAGTTTTCCTAATACTTTTTTCCTACTCGTTTTTTTGTCCCATTGCAGTTGGTCCTCCGAGTGAGGTGTCTTACCGGCTTTTTTCCTGGGGGCATTTATTGTAAATTCAATTTACAAAAACAACATACGTACCTCACAACTTAAAGTTGTGGCCACATGCCCACAAGTAGTGGTGATTCATCCTTTTCCTTGCTTTGAAGATAAACAAGGCTCAGATTGTGCCGTCTTCTGTTCACTTGCTTATATTCGGCTCGCTGAGGAAATTTTAAACTTTCTGAAACATTTCCCTCTGCTCTCCACATGTTTACGTTTCAATTACTCGTATTATTGGATTATTGGGACAAATACCCTTAGGAAAAAAGCCAGTGGGACATCTCTCTCGTAGGACTTACTGTGATGGGACGAAAAACGAGTAGGAAAAAAGTACTGGGAAAACCTGATGTGGGAAAAAAAAATTTAAGAAAAATTACCTAGCACCAGAGGGGGGCTGTCCAGTCCAGGCTTCTCGGCTTAATATGGCTGTTGCAGTGGCGGCTTATTAAGAGTATAGCGCCTTAAAAACCACCATACAGTCGAGCTGGCCAAAATTAGTTAGAAGTGCAAATTGACTACAATATACTTCTCATTCTGAAGTACGCAGGATATTAAAAAGAGACGGCTATCAAAACAATTAACCTTGACTGAAGTCAATTTGGAAATCTTCGACGCATGTTCACGGCGTTCTACATGAGTGTTATTGTGTAAAGAAAAAAATACAAAACATTGAAAACATGCACTTTTTGACAACTTCAAATTTTGTATTATATTTTGGGTCAAAAAAGGGCTGTTGATAACACTTCTGATCCTTTGAATAGAAAAAAGAACTTGCATCGATGATAAAATTGATAAGAATACAAATATCACACAGTGAAGGGAAACTATACAAGGAAAGAGACCAAAGTCTGCATTAATGCAGTAACTCTGCAGTTCGATGCAAATAAAAGCGTCGCCTTCCTGACATAAAGATATTGCTTCACTTGGCGATGAACCCTCGGGACTGATTATTGAAATTGATGGACAAAACTATAGACACAGAAGACAAACTGAAAATAAAGCAATCCTATTGGTGGAAGTGGGTGGTTGCAAAAGACAAAGAAGGTAGGTAATAGACTAACTAACGGCAACCCGAGAGGGACTCTATGGTTAGTCCATCATTTTTTCTCTTACTCTATGACAACTACCCGTTCCAAACAACAGGCTCCCTTCCTTTCTTGTTTGTCCATCGCTTTTTCTATCAATTTCATTAATCAGTCAGCTGTAGTCCATATTGTTAAACGCTTTTCCTGGCTCATCTCTAGGGTGCAGTTACGCTCTTTTGTCAGCCAAGCGACGAAATGCTCTATTTTCCGAACAATAGAGGAACTCGGGGCATGCGTCTGCGCAGGATCAACCGGAGGTTGTACGCCCACGCGCAATTAAAAATTAGAATCGAGAATTTCGAAAAACGAACGACCTCGGCCCGTGGACAGCGCCAATGCCCGGAAAGTAACAAGTTGTGCAATGCAGGTATTTCATTTTTTTCATCGACGGATTTTTGCGTAGCCTTCGCCGTCAAAAGAGTCAATTGCCATGGCCACGATACATTCTACCACATTGCGCCTACGGGCGCAATTAGTACTACGTCACCGAAAAGCTACATGCATTTTTTTTCATTTTTCGGTTTTTGGCAACGTCAAAATAAGCAGCTTAAGACCGAATGCATTTTTGTACCTAAAGCAGCTCTTTTTCATCAGGGTCAATTTGGTTTGCTTACGTTGTGATTAAGGGATGCTTAATCAGATCATCGCACTCTTAAAGAGGAGCAATTTTAAGGAATCTTGAGTATAATTCAACAGAATAACTTTGGGAATCGGTCCTTGCAAGGGATAGCGAGTGTTTGCTATTGACTTACACATTTCATTTTTCTGTAAGAATGTGCCCGTGCAAATCCCTGTCAAAATTTTGTTGATTTTCGAGAATGATCTACAGTAAAATCAGTAAAATTTTTAATTACAAATGCCCAAAAGTTTTCTAATATAAAGCGAGTGAGAATTGTACACCGTCGAAATGTAGTTACGGTCCTTCGTCTGGGGGACGACGAATTAGGCCGCGAAAAATTCAACCTACATTACGAATATTTCGCTGTTATCGGCCAATGTCTGCCTTCACTTTTTAAATTCCAGGGTTCCAAAAATTGAATTTTTAGACGAATATCTTCCATGACTGTTTTGATTGGAAAAAAGAAGGTGAGCGAAAAAAATAAATACGTACGAGAAAATAAAAGAAAAAACAAATTTGAAAAATGAGTCCGAAGATATTGAGTGATTTTAATTTTTTTCAGTCCAAAGTATAAAAAATTGCGGATTCTGAGTGGCAAAATTGAAGGAAAGATTCTTGCGGTCCGTTTCCTCCTCTACACTGAAAAACAATTCTCGGCGTTTTTACCGAGGTCTGTTGGTACCTTTACCATCTCACTTTTTTACCAATTATTGGTAATTTCACCAAGACAGACTGGTAAGCTTACCTAAAAATCGGTATTTTTATTGCTTTTTTTTCGGGTAAGAATACCACTTTTATTGGTAATCAATTCCCGGTAACTTAGCCATTTGATCTCGGCAATTCTACCACAGTCGATGAAAAATATTGGCGTTTTTACCAAGGTCCAGTAAAATTACCGAAAAATTTCAATAATTTTACCGAGATTTCTCGGTAAAATTACCAATTCCATAAATGGTAATTTTACCAAGAAAAAAATGGGATCAAATAGAACCCTGAATTCTTGGTAATTTTACCCTTTTCTTAGTAAAAACACCGAGAATTTTTTTTCAGTGCAAAACAATGTCAACGCGTGGGAATTGCGCAGGACTTCGAAGTTCGCTAACTAGCTCTTTGAAAATACCCATCAACAAAATGATACCTAATGAATCTGAGGTACATACACGCCTACACAAACACACTCTCGACTGTCGGTCTCTGACCTTCGATGCTCTCATTTCGGCAAATGAACCGTGAGCAGTGCTCTTTTTTTTTCTTTTTCTGCTGGTTTAATGGCTTCGTGTCTATTCCACCTTCAGCCAACTTTAGACAATGTTTAGTGTCCGTAGACATCAGACTCCATGCTCCAGGCTTTTCTAATTTTCAGGGATTAGGGCCGAGGAGGATCTGTTTCAGCAGATCTACTCGTCAATTCCGTGAAAATTAGACGCCACCACCGGGATTCGAACCCGGGACCTATTGACCTAGAGTCAGACGCGCTGACCACTAGGCCAACCTGGCCGGCGAGCAGTGCTCTTCCATTCCTATAAAGCTGTTTCAGAAAACTAAGAAATTAACGGCCATCCATCACATGAAGCTGCTAAATGGGAGATCGTACGCAGCTAGACCCCCTTCTCTAGATAGCTACTAGGGAGGTGTCCAAAAGTTATGTGACGTGATTTTTCCAATTTTTTGAACCCCCCCCCCCCCCCCCCGCAATCTTAACGTTGCGCTGGTCCGAACATCCCCAAAATGATTAAACCTCGCACTGAAAAAAAAAAAATTTCTTGAGATATTATTTTGACTTAACGCGTCGTTCCTCGTCGACAAAATTTGTTTTTGTTTTTTTTTTATTTTTTTAAAGATAAATTCGTGCGGATTGAAAACAATTTTCATAACCACTATATCTCGCTGACTTTTGCTTCTAATTTACACGTATCTCGTAGAAATTTGCTTCTATTTTACACTGTATCTCGTAGACATTTGCTTCTAATTTAAATTTCTAAAGCTCACTTCTTAGAAGAGGATTCGTTCTATAATGAATTCCTTTGGCCGAAACGTATTTGCTGCACGGACATCGAAACGCACAACTCGAAAACTTTCGACACGATTTTCTCATTTGAAAACGTGACATCCGCTGTTCTTGAATTTACGGTTTCTCATGCTTTAACTATCAAAAATGCAATTCTGGGCCTAGCGTAACTAATCCATTGTCGACGGAAAATTTACAAAAAAACCCTGGATTGATTGCGGGCGAGGAAGTGTGCGTGATTTTTAATCAATTTAGGTCTGCCGGAAACGGCGAAGCTATCTTGGCGATTCCGTTTCCGTCGTGGACTCGGACATCAAAGCACGCGATTATCGCTCTTCGAAACTTTCAGTCGCGTAACCCGCTTTAATTGACGCGCTGGATAAACACGCAAAAATCCTCGCGTCCTCAGTCCCAGCAGATATGATCGTAAAAACACCAAGACCAACTCAAAATACACGACGAGGCGATTGGAACAGATTCGAATACACGACTCATATGTTTTTGATGAGATCATGTCCTATGACTGGGATCGTCATCTCAGGATGGATTGGCTGCAAACACTCGCTGGAGCAAAAATAATAGTTGTTCCGTATGAGATGTCACTGGCTAAAGTGCGAAACCACGTACTTCCGTTTCCGACGTTGCAGACTTCTTGTAATATTTTAAATTTTCTGAAAAACATACTAGCCGATGTAATTTCTTGAAAACTTCCTTAATATTTCTTCCCTTTAGCAGAATATTCTGTTTAAAACTCAAGCTATAGAGTTACGGCTTAATTGTTTCTTCTCGAGAAAAAAGATATTATCGGAAATTTTGAAACACCGCAATAGAGATACGAGATTTCGCATTGTAGCCAGCAATATGTCTCGAGAATCATGATAACTACGTCGGGAAGACTAAAAATTACTACTAGGTCGGGAAAGTCTAAAAATTACTCCTAATTTCAAGATTGGCGTGACACAGTTAGTGAGCTGTTCACTCCAAAATAAAGTATGCAACGGACATAACTGAACGAGTTATTTCAAGAAGGGCGTAACCGCTGATAGTCAATATTCAAGAAAACATGGTGAAGCTTGATTTCTCCCCAAATTTTTTGTTTTCCGGTTCGAAAAAATTAATCGATACTCAATACCATCTAAAAAAGCAAGACACGCGGTCACACGAAGGGGGGAGGCGGTATAATCTTGAGGACCGTAATCAGAGACGGAGCTCTTGGGTAGCATATTACCAACCACCATTCGCAATTATAATTATACAACTCGAGAAACATTAGATTTTTAAAATTTTCGATAGAAATGACAACCAGATAAATTGATTCTGGTTGTTTTATCCTTCATATCTACTTTTTAATTCTGCGTTTCATTTTAAGATAACATACATCCGTCTCGGCTCTCGATCTTTTATTCCCGTCACCTCGAAACAACGTCAAAACAACACTTACATCAACTCATAACGTAGGAACAGCTGAAGACCATCCCAAACGGCGGGACGAGAAGACACTGTCAAGAAGTGATGGAGCCATTGTCTTTAGACAGGCTACTGCAGCTCTGGTTGACTAACTTGGAGATGAGTGCGTTCTGGATATGCACCATCTCTTTAAGCTGCCGTACCTCCTCGAAGAGGTTCTTTTCGTCGCGACAACAAGGGTCGGACGTGTTGCGGAGCGTCGCCGACCAGGAACAAGATGAGTTCGACCAAGTCTTCTTTTGCTTAGCCAGGTTGAACGCCGCCATGAGCACCTCCTTCGGGAGCCGCTTTTCGCGCGGGTTCAGCGGTTTCACATGCAGAACCACCCTGTAGGCCTGTGGCGACACGAGCGCCAACTGTCGCAAGAGCCGAACCACGTTCCTCGGCACGTAGCCTCTGCAGATGGCCAGCTCGAGGAAATAGATGAGTTCCGTTTGGCGTACGAGCTTGGAGAGGCCGGCGGTCTTGTGGAGCCCTTGGATGTCGTGGACGGCGATACCGACGAGCAAGTTCATGAGCACGACCGTCACGAAGAGGAGGAAGAGGACGAAGGTGATATGCGCCGAGAAATCGAGGAGCAAGGAGGCTTCCGGCCCGGCGCCAGGCCCGGACCCGAGCATGTCGAAGTCCACCTCGCCGGTCATCATGACGAGGACTTTGATGAAGCCGATGATGGGGTTGCGGAAGACGTCGGACGAGGGGAACACGACGCAGAAGCTGACCGTGAACCCGATGAGGAGGCACGAGTAGGCGAAGAGGAGCTTGAAGAACTCCGCCTGGACCTTGGTGAACATGGCGACGTAGGTCCCGAAGATGGGGAGCTGCCCGACCATGATCATGAAGTCGGTCCATGCCAGGAGCACGGCCAGCGCCCCGATGTGCTTCTGCCAGTCGAACGTTTGCCCCTGCCAGACGTAGGACACGAGAAAGACGCTGACGATGACGAACCATTCGAAGACGTTCATGAGCTGCAGGAAGTAGTGCTTCATGGAGCGATGGCCCGGGATGCCCATCACCTTCCTGGCGCTCTCGAAGATGGTGATGAGCACTAGGAGGTGCCAGATGGACTCGATGAACGCCGGCCGGGCCATGAGAAACCCGCCTATCGCCGAGTTGTTGAGACACATGGTCCGGGCGTTCTGCGTCACGTTCTTGGCCGCGTTGTAGCACTCGTGGGCCAGCGCCGCGATGACGTACACCGTGAGCAGGATGACGAAGACGAAGCAGAAGAAGAGCCGGAGGAAGTAGAACTTGCGGATCTTCTGCCACTTGAGGTGGAGGAAGGCCTCGCATAGTGGATGTTCAATCAGGTGCTTCTGGCCTTCGGCCTCCAACGTCTTCAGGAAGCCCACCTCCCCGGCCGAGGAATTCTGCAGGAGGTAGCGGAAGTCCAGCTTCAGCTCCACCTCCTTCGACGACGTCTCGTGGTCGTTCATGGATATGGAGAGGTCCAGCTTCTGGCAAATGGTGTTGATGGAGCCGGGGGTCTTCCTACCGATGATGCTCAGCGCGGAGAGTCCACCGGACGTGCGGGCTGTTACGTCGGCGCCGCTCATGATGAGGCAATCCACGCACTGCGACAGCTCGTTCAACGCCGCGATGTGGAGCGGTGTGTACCCGTACTTGTCGCTCAGGTTCACGTCGGCGCCGCGCCTGAGCAACACCTCCAGGGCGTTGAACGCCAGCAGGGTCTTGGCGAGGGTGGCGTGGAGCGGCGTGCGGCTATCCATATCCTGCCCGTTGATCGGACACCCCGCGGCAAGCAGGACCTCCATGCACTCGGTACTTTGAGCCTTGGCCGCCAGATGGAGCGCTGTCTGCTCCTTGTAGTTCACCGCGTGGACATCAGCCCCGGCGTTGATGAGGTACTGCACGCACTCGAAGTACCCGTTCTCGGAGGCCAGGTGGAGTGGCGTCGATCTGCGCCCTCTCGTCTGGATGTTCAGGTCCACCTTGGGGCAGTGCGCTAGGATGGTCTGAAGACACTTGGCCATACCTCTATCCGCAGCCACGTGGAGCGCTGTTAGCCCGTTCTCGTCGACAGCGTTGAAGTCCGCGCTCTCTGTGAGCAGGTGCTTCAGACAGTCGAGCGCATTGGCCTGGACTCCGCAATGGAGCACCGTGCTGCCTATCTTGGCTCCGTGCCGGAGCAGGAGCTTGACGCAATCGAGGGAATTTCCCAAAACTGCGCAGTGGAGTGGAGATAGGTTGTCCACGACGAGGTTCACTTCCAGGCCGTTCACTAAGAGCCACTTACACGACTTGACGCAACCGCTGAAGGCGGCTAGATGGAGGGCGGTGAACCCCTCGTTGGGGAGGGTGGCCACGAGGCTGGCGCCGACCTCGTAGAGCGGTTCCAGGAGGTCGTCCCGCTTGACGAAGGCCGACCAGAGGAACACGATGTTCTTCTCTTTGGAGCTGAAGGCTCGGTACTTGGTGCCAACTTGGTCGCTCGTCGTTTTCCCGTTCTCGATGTCGATCAGGGAGTTGGCGTTGCTGCCGAGCATCTTCATGTTCTCGATGAGGCTCATTCGGATCGAGTCCTTGCAGACTTTGACGCTGAGCTCGTCGGCGAAGCTCTCGTCGAAGCTGTCCATGTAGACGTCCTCGAGGGTGACGGAGGTGGTGCCGTTGTGGTTGTTCATGCTCGGAGGGCCCGAGGATTTGCCCCGGAAGCTCCGCCAGCGGCCTAGCAGCGAGGGGGTGGCCGTTTTGAACTTCGGGGATTTTTCCACCGGGGAGAAGGTGACGGCGGCCACGTTTGCGCTCGAGGTCCGCCGCAAGGACATGTTCTCGCCGCTTTTAAACATTACGCTTCGCTGTCCGTAGAAATGGCAACATTTTCACCAGAAATTTGGAATGTATACGTTAAACGAGAAAAGGCACTTTGCGAGCGGGGATTATTTCACATTTTATATTTTGATTTTTCGAAAAATTGACTTTTCACAAACGCGCACAGCTGAAAGACTACCGAAGGAGTTGGCCATTGATAGTTAAACACACACAAAATGGACGATGGAACAATGTATTTTTGTATAGTTACTCGCTGAACTTTAAATAACTCCAGAACAACGACAGAGGGTGGAAAAATAAGGCTATAGAAAACAAGTTGACTGGAGAAAGACAGCCGTTGAAAGTTAAACACGCACAAAATGGACAGAATATATTATTTTTGGACGGTTAATCCTTGAACTGAATACAACTCCAAAACAATGATAATAGGCAAAAAAATACGGCTAAAAATGATGAATGATAAAATCAAAAAATGATTTTGACGAGGAACACTTTTTAAAACGAGATTCGCGAAAAATGTTAGCTGAGAAACACCAACGTGTAGATTCACAGAAATCTAAGTTCAGTCATTCGATGGGAGGAAAAGACACTTGAAGATACAATATTTTCACCGTGAAAAATTGACAATTTTCAAGCACGTGACGGGAGCTTTTGTTAAAATCGGAACAAGTAGCCGTTCAACCGTTGTACGTCAACACGATATTTCATTAAGGTGGATTATTCAATTATTTCGTCCCGATTTCGGGATCTCGCGGTTTTTGTGCTGGAACTCCGCTGTATCGAAACGAGCCCGCAAGAGCAATAAGAAAAATCCAAAGCAGCAGGAATTATTTCAACAGTTCATTCAATGAAACCAATCCGTCGTTTTATTTAACTCCAGCACAGCCAGCTCATTAACTGTTTAAATTCTCGCGCTCCGAGCGTGGAAACACCTGTGTTTTTAAATGTTAAACAACATTGCACCCTCACCTCACCGCGGCTGCTCCGATTTCATCTGCACATATTTCACATTGTCAAACTCAGCATTAATTGATGCTGGAGATTTTATCATAATTTACCGGGTTTAAAGTTTTATCGCTAGTTTCACTGGTTCCGATTGGGTGTCGGAAAAAGTAAAGCATCAGTCCTTGAATGGAAATATTTTTAAAAGTGATTCAGATCTCAAGTTTATTTTTTAACTGGTGAATTCCACATTCACAAGCGAAAATTATATCGGCCCACAGTTAGTATAATTTTTCAAAACATTTTGACGAATTTCGAGACACGGAAATGTTTGACGAAAAAACACTGAATAGACAAATGAACGAACGCTCAAGGGAACAGAGCTATATGTAAGCAAAAATGACTAGAAATGGGATTAATTAAAAAATCCTAAAAATGACACTTGAGTAAAAATTTCGCTTAACTTAACGCGACGCATGTGATGATTCGTCACATTTAAAAACGACGAGAAACACAAAACAGGAAAAAAACACTTCGGCGGCGAAAAATCAAGCCGACGGGAAAATTATGGAATTCCAAAAAGATCAAGCCGACGGGAAAATTATGGAATTCCAACGAAGAAATGAAGGTCAACTTTAATTATCTTGTAAAGTTCACTGCCAGTCCTTTTAGAACACCAAATTGTGTACTGACATCCAACTGCCGTCAAAAATACGCGATTAAAATCGTTCGAAGTTGATTCAAAAAAGCTAAAATATCCCGGCAAGTTATTTTTGCCTCGCTAAGAGCATAACATTGGCAGTCAGGTTGGTTATCACAGACGAACGTTCACGATCTGAACTGAGAGAAAAAAAGAATCACAATTGCATTGGTGCTCTGGGAACATTCGCACATTGCCTGCGACGACGGACGACGTTTCGATAAGACGGTCGGGTCGGACCGCGGGCGGAAAAAACACTTCACTCACCGCACCGCAACGCAACGGGCGCGGGCCGGGCCAGCGTAAACACTGAAATCCGTGTTCGAATCCCGGTCCGCGAGACGGGAGATGAGTCACCGGAAAACGGAAAAGAAAGTTCGAGGAGACGGCACCGGGCAACGCGTTTCACTCGACTGCGGCTGTGGCTGGCCGCTGACTGACTGCCCGCTGATTCCTGATTCCGAGCCCACAATCAGGAGCCAGCGTCGCGACGCCGCACGGTGGATCGAGTCAATAGGAGAGGTCGGACAAAGTTTGGAAACTTTAGACACTTATAACTCCGTTTATACAAGACTTTGAGGTTCTAAGATGGTTCCATTGATTTTCTCTAGAGATCATGTTGAAAAAGCATCTCTTAAACTTGAAAATGTGACGAAATAAACATAAAAATAAGCAGTTTTCGTCAAAAAATATCGAGTCCAATTTCTCAGTATTTCGTTCCACTGAGCGTCGTCTCGCGGTACTCTCTATGCTCTGATCGGCGGCGATGCCGTCCGGTCCAGATTACCTCATAATCCATAGAAGAAATCAGTATAAACGCAAAAATGAGGTTTTTAGAAAATGAATCTCGCAGTGTCCGAGCGAAAATTTTTTTTCAGGGAATGGAATGGAATACCTACTCGTTTTTCGGTAAAATTCTCAATGTTCATCGAAAACACTCTTAGAAAAGTTCGGATGATTGTAAATCAAAGAAAATCGTCGGTTATGAAAGAAACCAAATTAGCACAAATGGGGTTTGAAAGTTTTCCACGTCTCTATACTGCCTTCAGTTTTTCAGGAAGGCCAGAGACCGTTATGCGTGCGGCGATAGTTACCTATTCAAGGATATGTATCCTCCGTTATGGACGATTATTCTTGTGAGTTAAGTACAACCCTCCAACTTGATAATGTTGATGTTAGAGAGAATTTATAGCATAGAATTTTCCGCTCGGACTCATTGGTGGAAATGGGGGGGGGGGGGGGGGGNCCCCCCCCCCCAGAAATCTACTCAGCCTCATCCAAGAAATGTGAGGAATCATAGTAGGTTCCAGACATATCTTTTATCTTCGAACTATACTTGGTTCATTTTGCGGTGGGAACAGCTCAATATTGCTCCTGAGACGACTAAATTTTTCAAAATTTTCCAGGGGACCTAGATTTCCCCTAGACCTCATTTTGATATTAGGAACCCCCCCCCCCCCCCCNATCCTCCTTTGAAACTGATGGAGTCCCACAGACCCTCTTTAGCGGAGTGTCTTTTTGTGCCCTTCTAGACCCCCCCTTGATGAGGTGTCCTTTTGCCCCCCCCTCTCCCCTCCACGAAAAGTTCCAAGTTCCACCCACGCCTTGCTACTGGCGAATACCGTTCTCTCCCCCAGGGCGGCAGCGCTGTAGGTGAACGATCAGGATTCAATAGACGTGCGCGGATGCCAGGTGTGACGATACTCGTAAAATCAGAAGCTGGGCTCCATGGGAAATGCATGGATTTCGCTGTGCAACTCGACAACCGACGACGAAGCGAACGCTCTTGCGCGGCAAAAACGGTTGAATAATCGCGATGAGTCGCGCTTCTCGCGGTCGACGACGCGACGCGACGCGACGGACGCCGGGCGACGGGCAACGTGTCGTGGTAAAACCCAAGGTCACGGTCCACCGTTCCTCCGAGCGCTTCCCACTAGTTTCATCACCTACGTGCCCCCATTTCCAACTTTTACTAGAGTATCCTTATAGGGAGAGAGAGCATGGAGACCGGGGCCCTTGGATACCCCTAGTAACGCAAAACAGAGGGGGAAAAAAAAAAAAAAAAAAAAAAAAAAAAAAAAAAAAAAAAAAAAAAAAAAAAAAAGGGGAGACCAGGGTCCGAATGGGTCAGTTGCGCCAGTCATAAAGTCGTGTTTTGATGCTTGATTCTTGTAGATTGGCTAAAATTAATAAGATCTGTCCAAATAGTAACTTTCTGCGTTCGATAATAACCGAGATATCGCGCTTTGAAAAATTCGGTTTATGACGTCATCCAACACGGTTGTTCATAATATGTCATAGTTTCTTCCACCTGGTCTCATTCGTGTTTGACGTCGAGTAATCAGTTCGATAACAAACCTTAAAATGGCCACGAAGTGGTAGGAAGCGAGACTCCTAGTATCTGCAATAGATTTTTAAGCTTCAAAAAGTCAGTTTGAACTTTCTTTCCGCCATACGGATCCATGTAATTTCGAAACTTTAATAACACGTATTCCTCGAGATAGCAAAAACTGCACAAACGCGCCTTGTCCTCGAGGCCACTCATTTAAAGGTGGGCTCATCGACAAATGCTGATTTCTGATGCAAAATTGCCGACAGAAGACCTCAGGAAATTTGCAAGAACTATGCAAAACTTTTTAACCGCACCCATAAACGGACGAGGAAAGGCTTCTGGCTTGTTTCGAAATTGTTTGTATTACGGCGTATTAGCGGTGGAAAACCCCATTTTCTTGGAAATCAAAAATTATTTTTATGAGCTTTCAAGGAAAGTTAATAAAAAAATCGGCGAAAGGCTCGGAATTTCTTGCGCCCTTTGGTAGAGACTTAATTGGGAGATGATAAATTTTTGTCATCGCACAAAATTTGTTTTACAACTGTGTGGCCACATGTCACTATGTAACTCGAGTAAGATTAATTTCTTAAGATTAATCGAGTAATTCGAATCACATGAAAATAAGACCACATTTTCAGTTATTTGGAATGCGATAACCGTCATTGTCTTGGAATTTCGAATCCATCGACCCCTTTGAATGATTAGTCTGAGCCGATTTCAACGTTACTTGCGTAACGCAACTGAGAATCCCCCTCTTCCCTACATCCCACCCGTAACGCACACTAAGAGCCCACTCCCCCTAGAGTGTTTCATATTCGGGTTGCATTTTGCAATTAGAAACTAAAATTGCTGACTCAGTTTAGAAACAACGTATGTACCATTAGTTTCCCTATGCACATGCATGTTTTCACTGATAAGCCAGAAATTGCAAAAGTATACTTTAAGGACAGCACCTAATGGTATTTTCAACAACATCGCAGTAGTGCCAAAGGCATTCATTCATTTCCATTTAAACCACGCATATTTCAGTCCCCTCTTCAGAGTTAATAAGTTTAAAATCGCATTAAAAAGACCCTAATGTTAAAATCCCATATTTTGTGTTTTAATTGATCAAACTGGTGAAAACTCATCACTAAATAGACGCTATGGACACCTTCAAACGTTCTTCTGGCCTTCGTTCTTGGTTTTAATTTAAATTTATTGCCAGCAATTAGTGAAATGTAATGTTTGATCGTGAATTCCAGTGGCAAAGCGTGAATGATCGACTATCGATATTTTGCCATTAGAGGCTATGGTAAAGAATCGATTATTGCGGTGTTCGTTGCGAATACCCTCTTTATCGATCCTTTCCCATAGGTTCAAACGGCAGATCAATCGATATATCGTAAAACACGGCACATCACTTATTCATGGCTCTCGCGCTTGACTATCCACGTATAAGGAAGAGAGCAGTGGTGTGTACTGTGTACGTTACGGTATTGCCATATTTTCGTTTGAGCCAGATTCAACGACAATCAAACATTTTTTCGTAATTCGTCGAATGTTCACTAAACCACGGCGAATCACAAAAGTATTCATAACTAAACAGGTGGTAAAAAAGTGCTGTCTTCACACTATTTTTGGAGGGGAGCAGGGCCAAAATTTAAAAAAAATTCAATCAGAATTAGAGAACTAATCTCCAATATGAGTAATACAAGACTAACGGCTCAAATTTTGTACTTAAGTTGAAATTTTCCCCCCAATTTTTTGGCCGTATTTTCCCCGCAAATTAGTGTGGACCCAGCACTACTTTACCACCTTGTCACATGCAGTTCGGGCACATTTTTAGGGTATTTTTCTTGTTTTAACTGAGTAAGTTACATCTTATTCTTCGGACGAATTTTGCAAATGTTCGATATCTGAACCTGGACTTAAAGTTGTTCATATGATAAGCTTCACGATCTTGCCAACCTTGCGATTGAAAAGTCCATATTAAAATGCGCTCGGATTAGCATTAATTACATGAGCTCATGATACGTTTTATTCAAACGGGAAAAGATACAAAGCGCCAGAGCACCTGTCACACTGTCACAGGCAAAGTTTGAGCTCCGGGGCATCTCATGGATGTCAAAAAATTCGCAATTGAGGACCTCTGCAAGTTTTCCAAAATACTTTAAATTTCCAATTCCCTTACTTTTTTGGCTTTTCCCCGGCTCCAAAATTTTCGAAATTCCTGAATTTCCCTGGCATGTACTCAAAACCTCCACGTAGATTTTTTCCTTTTAATTATGCTGACTTTCAGCTGAATGCTACTCGCAAAATTTCAGGAATCATTCTAGGAATTTTCCTGAGTTTCCCTACCCTTTCCAGGTTGTTGTAAATTCCTTGACTTTGCAGGTTTTTCAAACCGTCGGAGACCCTGTTTATGAACAACCCCTAACCGATAGAAAAACTGACCGAAAAGAGCTAACCGAAAGTTTGTGTTACTCAGTGTTCTATTTGTCAGATTGACACGACGTTTTGGTTACTTTATTTAACAGAATATGAAAAGACTTACGTTCAAAACCGATCTGATACAATGTTGCAATTTTTCATAAAAAGTAAAATCTTGAAATTTCATGTGAAATTTTTCATGAAATTGCAGAGGAATATGAAAGGTATTTTTCGAAATTAAACACAAAATTAAATGAAAGGCAAGTTGTTTCTGCCTTGGGGCTTGTTCAGTGCGTGTTGCATATCCAATCCGTCGAAAATCGTATTTTTCACAACTTAGTGAAAGTTCTAATATATCTCGCGGAAATTTGCAACCTTCCATTTTTTTCATTTCACTTGCGCAATCCTGGTCTGCTTAATGTGAATACTTTCCTAGAAGGAAGGGGAGGGAGACAAAAAACAAGAGAAATATGGCAAGACGGTGCTTGGCCGTTATAAAAACAGTCGTAGCTCAGAGAGGGCCGGGTTTCGATGTATGAGCGGGAATTTGGCAAGGCACCGGAGGAATTTGATTCAATGAGACGCGATGCGCCATGCGTCGTGTTACGCCGAGCCCAATTGGACAGTTATAGGAGTCAAAGTTCCGATAAATTAAAGAAGTGAATCACCCGCACCTCGATCCC